TTCTTCCTTTTCTCTTCTAAATATGTAAATACTTAAGTAATGTTATATATTCTTTTTCATTCTATGAAAACACTAGGGGAAAAAATTGTCCATCTCCCAAGAGCAGGGACATGGTTGAATTGTTGAAACCCTGTTCTTTCTAAGAAGGGGGCTTAGGTTCATTCCAGGGCTGGAGGGAGCGGGGGAGGCTATTCCAGGGTTGGGGAGGGGGAAAGGCTATTCCAGAGCTGGGGGGGAGGCATTTTTGTCCCTGGCTGCTGATACACAAGGTCTTTAAATTTTTATTTTGATATATCCTCCAAACGAGGTCTGTGCATATACAGAAATATACTGCCAGGATGAAAAGGAATCTATCATACAACTTTAACTTTGTATCCATTTATCAGATATCTGTACATGGCCTTTATGCTTTAGTATGAATTAATATTTTAAAATAGCCTGGGACTATCTCTTAAACAAAACAAATAGGTTGCATTGTATTTTTGGAATATGTTAAAAAACAATGATTTGTTAACTATAAGAATTATGTGTGTGTGTGTGTGTGTGTATGTGTGTGTGTACCAAATTATCCTAAAACTCATATTGAAAGGCAAAGTAACTAGAATATCTAAAACAGTTCTGAAAATAAATAAAAAATAAAGTGGGAAGAATCAGTCTACCCAATTTTAAGACTCACTATATACAGACACATAGATCAGTGGAACAGAATAGAGAACCCAGAACAGACCCACACATGTGCAGACAACTGCTTTTTACAACAGCAAAAAGGAATTCAATGAAATAAAGATGATCTTTTAACAAATGATAGAGAAGTAATTAGATATTCATATGGAAAGAAAAAATGAACCTTGGCTTAAATCTCACACTTTATACAAATATTAATTCAAAATGGATAATGGATTTAAATGTAAAATATAAAACTATAAAACCTCTAGGAGAAACTGTTGAGGACCCAGGGCTTAGTGAAGAAATCTTAGACATGATATCAAAAGCACAATCCAAAAAAAACCCACATTAAATTTCATCAAAAAACTTTCACTCTGTGAATGAGCCTGTTAAGATGATGAAAAACAAACTACAGCCTGGGAAAAAAAAATATTTGAAGGCCCTATATCTGACAAATGAGTCATATCTAGAATACATAAAGAATTATAAACACTCAACAGTTAAAAAACAAACAATTTAATTAGAAAATGGCAGAAGACATAAAGAGACTTTTACCAAATAGGACGTGTAGGTAGCAAATGAGCAAATCAAGAGGTCCATACGGTGGATGACTATTCGACAATAAACAAGGTCAGACTATTGATACAGGCACCAAGGTGGATGAATCTCCAGGGCATTATGCTAAGAGAGAGAAAAAAAAGCCAATAAGAAAAGGTTACATTTTGTGGGGTTTTATTTATAGAATATTCTCAAAATGACAAAATTATAGAGTTAGAGAACAGATTAATGGTTTTGACGGGCTGGGGGAGGCAGGGAAGGGTAAGGATGACTATCCAGGAGAAGTGCTGGAATAGTTTGTACCGTGACTGCAGCAGTAGATACATGAACCTACATGTGGGATACAATGACATAGAACTATACACATGTCTTGTACCAAGGTCAGTTTCCCAGTTTCGATATTGTACTATAGCTATGTAAAATATAACCATTGGGAGTGTTAACTAATAAAGGTCTGAGGATGTTAAACAACTCAAAAGTTTATTTGGAGTCTTAAAAGATTTGAATCCCTGAGACACAGATTCAGGTAGCAACCCAATTTGCCCTCCAGAGAGAACAAAGGCAGGGTTTGTAAAGGCAAAAACCACCAAGTGTAATTCTTTCATGCAAATGAAGGATTACTGGTTAGGTAACAGATTGGTTAGTTTCAATATGCAAACAAGGGGATAAAAAACTACAAGGTGGAGGTCAAGTCCATGTGTGTCCACAGAGCAGTTGTTGTTCCAGGAGGTTTGTGAGTCAGCCTTGAGCTGAGTGTGGCAATGGGTTTAGCAATTTGGTAGCTCTGAGAACTGAGACACAAGATGTGCACAGCCCGCTCCCCCCTTCCTTAATAGCCTCCTGATTCTATTTTATATAAAGTGACTCTCTTGGCAATGCTTATTCCATTTTATTTTTTTCCATTATCAGAGGAAATAAATTGTGAAGGATGTACAGGAACCTCTTGTACTATCTTTACAACTTTCTGCGAGTCTATAATTATTTCAGATGAAAAGATTTTTTTTGGTTAATGTCATTGATTTGTTAACTATAAGCATTTAATATATGCAGTTTTTGTAATCCTGTTGGACATCCCCACGGTTTTAATATGTTAAAATCTTCTGAAGCTGGAAGTGGCCTGGGCCTCTCTGATGTCTGACCTCTGGGAGGTGAGAGAAGTAAACACACTCACGCCAGACTGGCTCTGGCATCCTCATGGCATGCCAAGTTAAGAATATCCAAGAAGAGTGCTGCCTCGGGTTTCTAAAACCTGGGGTGGGATCTGCAAACTGAGGGAGATGAGCGACACTACATGACCCACACCTGATCCCTCTTAGCACACACACACACGCATTTCAGTGGCGGCCGCTACCATGGCTTTCACAGTCCTCTTGGCCACCTTTACATCTGCGTCACTGGTTGCCAATCTCTAATCTCTATAAACATTACCTGTTGGATCACATTACCTGTCTGGCCCGCTCCTCAAGGGGCCTATCTGGGAAATGCTTCCATAGGAGGTAAAACCAACCCTGGAGATCTTCCAGACCAGGAGATATTCTTGTTGTGTTTCCTGTTATATGAGGTTTATAAAGAGCTGAAGGAAAGAGAGGAGACCACTGTTATGCTTTAACTATTTTAACCCGTCTTTCCCTTAATAACTCTGCTTCCTGTATGCCATCTTTTTTATTTTCTTTATTCCGGAATTCCATCCTCCACCTAAGAGTAAATAGGACTAGGAACCTTTTTTTAAAGTTTTTAAGCAAGAAACCTTACTACTTCCATAAATTCATGTTTACACACGGGAGCTATTTTGAGTTACAAACAGTCTGAAATGGGTGTAACTTCCTTCTTTATGTAGTGCTTACTGTAAAATGACCTCTTGTGGTTTAGAGCATGCATACATCATACATCTCATTGTTACGTACTCTAACTTTTTTTTCCATGTCATTTCATCATCCCAGTTATGGTAAGCTTAGGTCTGATGATTTTTCTTTTTTCATCATAAAATAATCAAAATACTGCATTTCCCTGGGTTGAGCAGCAAGCAGAGCTGCAACAAAGGCTTGTGTATAGCTGGTTTATTAGGAAAGTGATGTGAGGGAGCAGGCGTGAGGGGCAGGGAGCACAAACCAGGGGAGGTGGCGAAGTCAGGAGCGGATGTTATGCTGGCCACTGCTACAGACTAGTGCTCTGATCCACTGGGACCTTCTGAGGAGCCAGCCTTGTGGAGTTGGTCAGAACTGTGTGCCAGAGATGAAAGGGAAGCACTTATCTATGGAGTCCTGATCCCCATTGGTCTATGGGGGCCTCATGGGTTGTGTATTGTGAGTGCTTCACAGGCCTAGATATCAGAGGAGCCCCAGGACAGGAATCAAGAGATATACGATGTGGGGCCCCTAAGTGAGCCTCTGTTGGGCACTGGAAGCTGAGCAGCACTTAGTTACTGCCCAAGGGCTGGGAACAGAACCCGGAGGATTTGATGCGGAGCCCAAGGTGTGGCCAACACAATTATCAACCTAAGAACTTCTGTAACTTGATGAGGAGTAACTCACTGCCCAATGGAATCACTATATTTCGTTCTATTAGTCAGCCGGTGATATTTAAATCTCCTTACTGGTTTTGTATCTTCAATTTGCCCAGTGATGTCTCTGAAGGTTGAAGAGTGAAAATAAATTTTAGTGGTTGGGGTAACAGCCCAAGTGTGTTACACTGGATTAGCAGCCTGCATTTTGAGGGAAATATTAAAATAGAATGTGAAATAATTACAAATGAGGGAAATTTACACTTGAGCTGTTTTTACATCTATGTTCTGATAAATTCATATGCTCTAAAGCCATTTCATGGAGGGTTTTATTTCTAAGAAATAAGTGAGGAAAGCAGAAGCTTCTTAAGAATTGTGGAAAGCTGTGTCAGGTAAATTTTAGGTACTTCGAAAAACAGTTGTAGAAGCATAATTAACCCTTAATTTACAGAATTTATATAAAGGTTATATTAATTTGATAACTGATAGATTAAGTTATCTATTAATAACCAATTTACTATGTCTCAAAAACTGTTTTAAGATAAACAAATTCATCTGATCCTTCCAATGTCTCCAAACTAGGTACATACAATCAATTTCTCATTTTAAAGATGTTGACACTGAGCCACAAAGAGTTTGAGTAACTTACCCAAGGTCACACTGCTAGTAATAGGTGGAACAAAAACATGGTACTGTGTAGTCAATATCTTCATTTTTTTAAAAAAGTTTATGGCAGGTTATAATAAGTGAATGTGTCCAGAATTACTCTCTCTTTGCAATGATTAAAATGATCCAAGTGAGAATATGTGGAAAAAACATCATCCATCTCATTACAGGACACTGGCAACTTGATCAAATCTGCATTTTGCTTGCAAATGTTCACCCCAATATAAGAGAGAGAAAAATAATATATTAGGACAAACAAATAGAGAAGTGAAGGGATAGCCAGGCAGACTGAGAACTTTTGGAACTATAAGTGTTCAATGAATGTCATATCATTGCAAAGCATGTGCACAGTTTAAAACATCCACCAGTAAGTGTCTTGGTTTTTTCTTGCACCTCTTTACCCAACAGAAGTTTTTCATCAATGACTTTGTTAAATAAGACACATGAGAATATGTATAACAATGTTTTTCTCTTTCCAAATTTTGTGGGAAATTCATTAGAAGCTTAAAACAACACCAGTCAACCACCCTTTCCTGGAGATAATTCTCATTAATCTTTCCATGCCCAGAGCATTCATATTTTGTTGGGTATTTGTTCTATTATCTTTCAGTCATGGAGAAAACTTCTACAGATACACTTCCTCTTACTATGATTTCTTCAGAAGAGCAAGAGACTGTATGCATTTTCGGAACTGGAGATTTTGGACGATCACTGGGACTTAAAATGATCCAGTGTGGTTATTCGATTGTTTTTGGAAGTCGAAACCCCAGGATGTCCAGTCTGCTGCCCAGTGGTGCGGAGGTCTTGGGCTATGGGGAAGCAGCCCAGAAGTCCGACATCATAATCATGGCAATCCACAGAGAACATTATGAGCTTCTCCCAGCACTAACTGAGGTTCTCCGGGGCAAAATATTGATCGATGTCAGCAACAACCTCAAAATGCATCAGTACCCGGAATCGAATGCAGAGTACCTTGCTCAGCTGGTGCCGGGAGCGCACGTAGTGAAAGCGTTTAACACCATCTCCGCCTGGGCTCTGCAGTCAGGAGCCCTGGACGCAAGTCGGCAGGTAAGGTTAAACGATGAATTTACTTTACATTCCATCTTTAGCAAGTGAATTTTTTTTATGTGCACTGACCTCAAAGATTCCCAAATAAAATACCCACTAAGTACTTCATTCTGCTAATATGTGCCATGAACCGTTTTCTCGGGTTGAACCAAGCAGGGTAGTCCATTGTGATTCATTTCCCACTGTCTGCAAAGCTTTTGGGTTGATGGAACCCAGTGGTGTGAGTCTCCAGAGGCCTCTTGTTAATACTAGAAAACAACACACCTAAAATCGTTGGCAGAGATCCTTTCCGCTCCCATTCCCTCGTAGGAAACTAGATCCATTTATTCACTGAGATCAGCAGTAATCCGTAAGTGATCCGGCACCCACGAACGCAGGAGAAACATCAAACGACTCACACTGTGGAAAACAAAGTCTTGTCGCATCACCAGTGCGACGTGCCTGAAGCCACTCCCAGCTTGAAACCCTGGTGCTTACCTATCCGACCCACGTGTGCAAGTTTAAAACATCATCTTATTAAACACGTTGGTTTGACATTTTTGTTTGAAAAGCAGCTCACTGCTCCATGTCCCATTCTAAGCAGTACTTACATAGACTTTCAAAATCATTATGGCGGAAAGAATAAATACACCACTAATTCTCTTTAACGCAGGTGTTCGTCTGTGGGAATGACAGCAAAGCCAAGCAGAGAGTGATGGACATCGTCCGCACCCTTGGACTGACTCCGTTGGATCAAGGCTCTCTCACGGCAGCCAGTGAAATCGAAAACTACCCCCTGCAACTGTTTCCAATGTGGAAGCTCCCCTTCTACTTGTCCGCTTTCCTGTGCGGCTTCTTCTTTGTCTACTGTGTTATCCGAGATGTCATCTACCCTTACGTCTATGAAAAGAAGGACAGCACGTTTCGCATGGCCGTCTCCATCCCCAATCGGGTCTTTCCCATAGCGGCCCTGATGCTGCTCTCCCTGGTCTACCTCCCCGGCGTCATCGCTGCTGTCCTGCAGCTCTACCGAGGCACCAAATACCGCCGCTTCCCAGGCTGGCTGGACCGCTGGATGCTCTGCAGAAAGCAGCTGGGCCTGCTGGCGCTGGGATTTGCCTTCCTGCATGTCATCTACACGCTCCTGATTCCTATTCGTTACTATGTACGATGGAGGCTGGAAAACCGAACCATTAGCCAGGTAAGTCTCTACTCATTTGAACTCTCCTGCTCCGCAAATCAAAGAGGAATCTGCTGCATGATATTCCAGCTTACGGTTATAGAAAAGTGGTCTTCTAAGCATCTTTATTTTTCAAAGTAACTAGAATTAGACTCCTCATGTCTGTTTTTCGTTTTTCTTTTTGTCTTTGAGTGAATCCAGTTGACATCTCGTACAGCCACTGAGAAGGAAAGTTAGCTGCCCAGGTTCCCTTGGGTCCAGATCTGTATTCCTAGGACTGACTGACTGGGATCCTGATACACCTACAGATTTGAGGGAGCAGGAAACCTAATGATACTTCCTTTGAAATTCCCTTGGGGCACATTCAATAACTGTATACCAGCCCATTTTCAAGTTTCTGTTTTTACACATGCTTCCTCATTCTGGAAATCAAAACCAGCCATCCTGTTGGTAAGGGGGCCATTCCAACATGTGTCACAAGAATGTAAACAAATTTACAAGAGTGTTTATAACCCCATTAATGTTTTGACGTGTGAGATTGTCCTCAACTGTTTAGTTCTGTAAGCAAATGGCAAACACCATTTTCTGCTTAGCCAACAAATTCAGAGAGGATCAACTCACGATGTCTAAAAGCAGTCCCAGAGGAAGTGCTATACATCAACTCTAGTTAGGAAATAATTGGTTTTGACCAATCTTACATCAGTCTCAGAGTTTATTAGTTAACAACTCATTGATGTTGCTTCTGTGGGCTTCTCTACAAATAGATGGGAAGTTCTTGGGTAAGAATCACATTAAAGGGGCCTGATTTCTGTCAATCTGTGGTGTGACAGACTTAATGCTGTGTTACAATATAATAGACATGAAAGAAACTAAACTTCCTATGTATGAATAATCAGCATGTAAAATAGAAAAACAGAATCTTGACGGAATTATTTGAGAACATCAAGTTTTGTTCAGGGAACAAGAAATCATATTGTAAAGAAGGTTTAAGTAAATGTGTACTTTGTTTTAGGATTTATAGGGTCAATTAAAACTCCCTCTACCACTCCTAGAGTCAACTATTATAATGACGCCCCAGCAGAACCAATTACTCTTTCTACCAAAGAAATAATTTCTAAGTGTACTTTCCTCTACAATTATTTTCAAATGATTATTAAGAAATGACATCTAATTTGTCTTGAGCAAATAAACCGTGCAGAGGTATTTTCAGTCCCCTTGGAAGTTTGGGCAGTTTATAAAATAATGTAATTTTTTAAAATTGCTTATAATTTTTCTTAGGCAATATCCAAGAAAGAAAATCCATTTAGTACCACTTCTGCCTGGCTTAGTGATTCATATCTGTCTTTGGGAATCCTTGGATTTTTCTTCTTTGTCCTCTTGGGGATCACTTCCTTGCCATCAGTTAGCAACACGGTCAACTGGAGAGAGTTCCGATTTGTCCAGGTAAGGACCTCAAGATTTAATCTATTTTAATTGCAAAATGAGCCTGGCTTTACAAATGTTCTCATTTTTCTCTCACACTATGCATACATTTTCATTTTGCTCCATCACTTCCCTAGCAATCTCATAAAAATAGCAACTGAAACAAGTTCAAATTAGAAAATGCTTAACTCTGGTACCAAAAGGCAGATTCCATAATGGTTTGATTCCTAACAGGGCATCCCTTGCCAAGACTCCTGACTACTCGCAGAGCCACAGCTACAAGTATAGAGTGAAAAGCACCAACAGCTATTGTACTTTGTGGACATGTACTTGGTGCAAGGCAAAGAGAAACCCAAAGACAACATTTTTCCTTCTGAAAATCAGCCTTAGATAAGAGATGCATTGATATATAAAGCAATATATTTTAAAATAAATTTTAAAACCTTAGAAACAAGACTTGCTAGACTATCATCATACCAGACTCAATCCTGTCCTGTAACAGGAAAAATCTGATTTTTTCCACATATCAACCACCAGACACCTCATTAAAGAGGATTTTAAACTATTTTTAGAAACCAGTGCTCCTCAAAGTGTGGTACCTGGACCAGCAACATCAGCATCACCTGGGATCTTGTTAGATACACAAATCCCCAGGCCCTCCCAGACCTAATGGATCAGAAACTCTGGGTGTGTGACCCAGCAGTTTGTTTTAACAAGCCCTCCCGATTATTCTGATGTGTGTTCATTGTAAACCAGTATAATGGAATAGACCATTAGTAACTGATACTAGGTTTGAATTTTATAGAACTGTTCAAATTACAAAAGTCAACAGTTTTTTCCAGGGACCAAATGCAGTCAACATTTTGTCATGTTAACACCTTTATTCAAGGCATAAAAATAGAAATAAATGTTGAGCTTTAGTATTTAGGCCAAAACAGACAAAAGTCAAGTTTGCTCATTGCTCTTTATTGCAATAGAAATTAGCCAGTATCTGCTTTGAGTCAGTAACGTAGGTGGTACTTCATGAGGACACACTGTGTCTTATACATCTCTGACCTCCTGAAATGGGGGTCAGGGAAAGAGTTTTACCACAGGCTAAGAAGGCAAGGCACCTTACTTATCCCAACTCAAAAGAGTTTACTCCTGGGACACTTTCCCATCCAGCCAGGTTAGATGAAACCACCATGTCATTTGTAAGCACAATCTTTTTTTTAATTTTTAATGAAATATTTATCACCCTGAAGGAGGGTTAATGCTTTCATCAGTACTTTGCAGTGTGTTCTAAATATGATAGGTTTCAAAGGTGTGCAGCTGTTGACAATATTCTTCGCTGGCTTAGAGTGTTTTACTTTAAAATGCAAATAGCATTAATGCACATGTTTTTGTTTCTTGCTTTTATAGTCCAAACTGGGTTATTTGACCCTGATCTTGTGCACGGCTCACACCCTGATATATGGTGGAAAGAAATTCTTGAATCCTTCGACTCTCCGATGGTACCTTCCTTCAGCTTACGTGCTGGCACTCATCATTCCCTGCACAGTGCTGGTGGCCAAGTTCATCCTCATCTTGCCATGTGTAGACAAGACCCTCACACGGATCCGCCAGGGCTGGGAAAGGAACTCGAAATCCTCGAAATCAGCACTGAATGGAAAGACAGATATTTAAGGCAGTGTTCAATTCACCCAGAGTTCTGAACTGCATGTTTAGAGACAAATAAGAGGCTCAGTCAAGAAAGCATTTTTCTCCCACCCTGGCCTGAGGTTTATGAACAGCGAAGGACATGTTGCCTGACTTTGAGAAACTGAGAGATTGGTAGAGAACAGCATTTTGCCTTGGGTTAGTGATGAATTAGTGTAGGTCCCACCTCTCCTGGAGGCACAGATTAGCCTCCTGTCTTCCCGCTCAGAAGCTTCTCCTGTGGGCACCACGCGTAACCTAATGTCTTGCAAATTCCAGGGAGAGTACATGCAACTTCCTTCTCTGGTTCAAAGGCTGAGTGGAGTGACAGAGAAAACAGTAAAATGATGGCCACTGATAAAGGCTTTGTAAGGTATGTCTGAAGAAGACGGCCCAATGAAGTAAAAGAAATGAGTTTTTTGGGTATTTTTGTTTTTGTTTTTTGACATGAAAGTGATTATAAATATTGCTATAGTGAATTTTGTAGTGAAATGTGCTCTTTGATTTTGCTTTTACCAATATGGATGTGTACAGTGGGGAGCTATTTCATAATACAACAAAAATACTACCATTGATTGGAAGTATGGGTCAAATATATGCAAATATATAGAGTTACCCAGAGATCCTTCCTCTACAGGAAATAGGTGTAAGAAAGGTTGAGTTAAAATTGAAGGATACACACTTGGATTTTCTCAATGTACAATGAGCGAGGAAAGGTTGATAAAAGCCCTTGCACAAAAAGTTCAAATAAACCCAAATTTTAGATAGCAAGCTAAATAAATGTAAAGTTGCTCTAGATTAGGTTTGGTTTTACTTAGGTATTGTGTGGTTTGCTTTGTAAATAATATATTCCAAATATCATTCATTGCTAATCAGCTACGAAATGAAGTTCTAGCATAAAAAAGTCGCTTCTATAATTTGTCATAGTTCATTATAATTTTAGGCAGTGGAATTAAATGAATAATGAAAGTGTAACTATGACGAATGCACAGATGAGAGAGAATTATGGAAAGTTTTAGGGCAGAAAGGTGTGAGCATGAGACTTGGTTCTTTCTCAGATCCTCACTGGAAAGCAGGATGATTCTGTTGGGGGCAGTGAGAACGGCACCTGTTAGACAGGTGGAGTCAGACCAGACCTGGGTTCAATGACCTTAAGAGTTCAGAGCCAAGACCCAAACTACAAAAGAACATTCATTTTGTTAATCACAGAGGTAGAAAAAGTAATTCCTAGAAGAAGTGGGTTTAGGAAACAAGTTATAGAGGCAAAGGAAGGGCTTTAGAGTTTAGAAGTGAGGAAGATGAAGGTGACCTGCCTGGGGGGAAGAAGAGGGGGTGAGGAAAGGCTTGGGCATGGTCTAGGGAAGGAGAGCTTCTGGGTCCTCCTTCCTAAGGGTTTTAAGGGTGGAGATTTTAGGGGAGGCCTCAGGGGAAGATATCAATAGAATATTCAGCAGCTTTCCAGGTGTGTCCTTTCAGGTTCAGGGTCTCCACTAATTGATTGGTTAGCACCAGGGCAGGGGGGTCATTATCCAATGCAGCTGGCCCTGAGGTCGGTCAGCCATGGGGTCACTTGTCTGGTTTTGCGGCTTTTCTGGGCCTGGAGCCAAAATACAACTGAGGCCTACACGTTATCTCTAGGGAGGAAAGGTCAGGGGGTCCAAACTGCATGACCAGAGATATGCTAGGGGAGGGAAGGTCCCTGGGGGTGAGGTCCCACTCTACAATTGTCCTTTGTTAGGCACCTAGGGCTTTCCACCCTTGTGACCTTCTGTACCTGGCCCATTGTCCTTGCTCTGCTCATGTCTATCTAACTGCCTACCACAATTCTCTCTGTTTTTCTGTGTTGATAGTTCCATTTCCAAGGTGGCCTTCACCAGAATTAGCCTTCCTGGCTCATATATGGACCTAAAAAGAGCCTTATGCAAGATCTTCTCACATACTGAAATAACCAAAAGGCTTGGGTTTGACATTTTTTGCGTGCTCTATCAAGACCATTTATTCTCTTTTTTACTTTTTTTTTTTTTTTTTTAAGTCCTCACTCAAGGGCATGCTTCGAGAGAGGAAGGGGAGAAAGAGACAGAGAGAGAGAGCTAGAGGAACATCAATGTGAGAGGCAACATCAGTTGCCTTCCATACGTGCCCCCACCAGGGATCAAACCCGAAACCCAGGCATGTGCCCTGACTGGGAATTGAACTAGCAACTTTTAGTGCACAGGATCACGCTCGACCTACTGAGCCACTCAGCCGAGTTCTATTTGACTTTTATAATCATATATTCTACATGACAATATACAAAATAATTAAAATGTATTAAAACATCACCCATAATCCAGGATATTTTTCTATAAAACTTTTTGAAAATAGTTCAATTTATACTGTATACTCAACTTCACACCCTTTTTCACTTAATACGTTAGCTACTTTGTTCTCTTAGTTACATGGTATATGTTTTAAACTTATAGCTGCATAGTATTATATCAAATGGGCATTTGTTAACTACTGCTCTAATTAAACATGTAGGTTATATTCATTTTTACTAAAACAAATAACATTTCAGAGAATATCTTAGCACTTACAACTTTTTTCCATATTCTAAATTATTTCCTCAAAATACCTGCCAAGAATTGGGATTACAAAATTTAAGAACTTTTAATAGCATTTGATATATATATTGCCAAATTATTTCTAAAGTGACATTGTCAATATCATTGGTATTGGATAAGGGTGTTGGTTTCATCAAAACCTTACAGGTTTTGTTTTTTAATCTTAATTTGCATTAATTGAGAAGATACACAGAGCATATAATCCATTCACTTATCCTATTCATCCCTCTATTTTATGCCAAACAGCCAAGTGTTGGAGGGTTGGAGCCTGCCCTTTGGCCAGAGAACTGGTTGAGAACTATCTAGGCTGATATTGAAAAAAAAGCCTTGTGGGTTAACCACGCTCCTTTTTAGCAGCAGAGTAATATGTTTTTACCGGGTCACAGTTCATCACTAAAAATGGAAAATCCCATACCTAGGTAACAAAGCTTTCCGGGAGTAAAGTGGATTCTAGTTTTATAACCTGGTAAAAGTGCTCTACCCAGGTACTTAGTAAAAGCTTTCCATGAAGCTAGGGATTAAAGAGCACCCCCTCCTGGTTTTGACATAGCACTAAATTGCCAAGCCTGACCCTCAGCCTCCACAGCAAAGGATCCAAATCCCACCAGCTGACCAGAGAAGCCAATTTCCTTTTTCCCTTCCCAAATTCCTCCCTCCCCAAACCATCAAACCAGTTTGACCATCCTAACCCAGCCAACTCCTCTGGTTTACTTACGGTGGAAAGCATAAGTTTGGAATAGATGGAAATAGTGAACTACATTCCTTTTAACAGATCCAAACTGGTCTACATAAAAACATCAGACTACATTTCTTCACTACTTGTGTGTTTCCTGTATTCTAGGGAAAAAATTTATGAAGCTCATAGACCTTTTATTTTTGTATATTTTCCTCATATGTAATGAGGACTGCTTTTGTAAATGTGTATTCATTAAACATTATTTAAAAAATATTTTTCAGCTTTGTTTAATTCTGGTTTTAACTCATCAGCATTCCAGAGAAAGTGATGAGAAGATTTTGAATCACAGCAGTTTCAGCATCAGGAACTAAAAATATCTCCCTGCAGAAATAAGGAAAAAGAGAGGCCGTTACATGGGTTTTAAAGCACATTAGCGGATTTGCAGCCTCATGCAACGTATGCCTGAGTTCAGTGAGGAGATGCATTCCTATATCCTGCCTGCTTCAGTTTCACCTTGAGAGAGGGGAAAGCATCAGCTGGCCGGATTGATGGGTATGAATATACTTTCCACACTGGGCTTTCCTTCTTCCAGGTGGATGCCACCCAGAAAGGGCTAACGACCTGATGGGTGGACTGCCTTCAGATTGGATTGCAGTCTCTGGGACCAGACGTTAAACTCCCTGCACAATTGGACAGCTGCAGCCATGATGGGTGTTATCATTCTTTCAAAAGGAAAATAAAAACTGATAGAGAGAGGGCCGTCAGCCTAGAGTAGAAGCAAATAGAAAAGCCCCTACTCAAAAGCTACTTCAATTAGAAATTGCAAGTGTTTATTGTTCAGGGATCACAGAAGAGCCATGATGCTGATGAATGTATACAATAAATTTTACCTCTAGGAGCTCAAAAGATTCTGGACATCCTCCCCAAATCAAGGTGGAATGGCAGTCAAGGGGCTGCACACAGATTTTCATTCTGCATTGACATAATCATCACCCATACAACCAGCTGTCTAATACACGCACACCAAAAAATCCTAATATGATCCTGCTCTGATTCTGTACAATGAGTTAGGATTACAACATAGAAAAAGCCTCTGCTCCTCTAAAGATCTGTCCAGTCAAATTTAGGAAGGAGAGTAAGTTACTCTTTAATGCTTTACCTTTCCTGAGGCTCAAGGCAAAGACCTGCCTCTCAGGTAAGAGGAAGTAAGAAAAAGACCCAAATGGGGGAGGAGAAGGGTCATGGGGGGAGGAGGAAGAAATGGGGGGTCAGAGAAAAGGGAAGCTTGGCTGAGCAGGACAGTGGACCCCCCCCCCAGCCCAACCAGGACAACAGCGTCCAGTTCTACATGTTTCCTGCTCCAAGGGAATCCTGGGGAGTTCTCAGTGACGTCTATTGATTAATACCATGAGCAAAGCCTGAGCTGAAAACTTGATATATATTATCTTATTTAATCATCATTAATAATTCTCTAAAGTACTGTTAAATAAAAAACTTTTAAGGCTAAAAGCTTTGCTAAAAGAAAGGATTTCTTGAGCCATACACTAGCCAGAAAAAGGGCCAGACCCTGGGGCGAGTGGCCTAAACCACCAACAGCAGGGAGAGGTGGAAAAGACGAACATGTCCACAGTCCTCAGCTCATGGACCTTCTACACACCGAGTTTGGAGAAGAACAAGTGAGTTGTTTGGAAAGAGATTCCATCAGCTACAGATAAAGC